AAGGAACAAAGCAGAAGATATTACACTTTCAGACTTCAACTTTATTCCAAGACTATAGTAACCAAAACTGCCTGGTATTGCACAAGAATAGCCACATAGACTAATGGAACAGGACAGAAATTCCAGAAGCAAAAACATGGTCTCTTAAGCAACTCATTTTCAACAACCAACAATAACATTCATTGGGGAGAAGAGATCTTATTTAGCAAATGGTGCTGGGAAAACTGGCTACAGACAAATGAAAAAAAAAATGGACCTTTACCTATTACCATATATAAAACTCTACTCAAAATGGATCAAAGAGCTTTACATAAAAGTTCGAACTATAGGAATCCTGGAAGAAAACATGGGAAACACCCGTATATCAGAGTAGGCAACAAATTCTTTACCAAGTGCCTAAAAGTGAATGCCATAAAAGCTAAGAAAGACAAGTGGGATCTCATCAAACTGAGAGGATTTTGCACAGCCAAAGAAACCATGAAGAGAGTAAAGAGAAAACCCACAGAATGGGGAAAAAATTGCAAATTATGCCTAACAGCCAGGATCTACAAGGAACTCAAATGAAGTGAAAGGAAAAACACAAACAACCCCATTAAAAAGGACATAAATAGACATTTCTCAAAAGATAACATACAACAGCCAACAGACACAAGAAAGAATGCTCAGCCTCACTAATCATCAGAGAAATGCAAATCAAAACTCTAATGAGACACCTCCTAACTCCAGTAAGAATGATTATCATTAATAAGTCAAAAAACAACAGAGGCTTGGCATGGGTGCAAAAAAAAGGGGATGCTTCTATGCTGAGGGTGGGAGCGCAAACTATTTCAACCTCTATAGAAAGCCTCCTTACCAGCACGTAATAAAGAAACCAAAATCATGGACTTCGCAGCAAATTGGATGGAGTTGGAGGCCATCATAGTAAGTGAACTATCACAGAAACAAAGAACTGAATACAGCATGTTCTCACTTATAAGGGGGCCATGAACATTACAGTAGCACAAGGGAAGGAATAGCAGTCACTGGGCACTGCTAGGGAGCCAGATGGAAGGGATCATGAGACAACACAAGGGTACTTGATTCATTACCACAGGAGTGAGGGCCACTTTGAAGCCCAAACTTCACCTGTATGCAGCCTACTTATGTAGTTAATCCTTACTTATATCCCATACTTCTATAGCAAATTAAAACAAAATAAAACCTGGAAAAGTTCTAAGGCATGCCAAGTTTTCTAGGACTCCAGCTAGTTACATATTATGGCCAGTTCTTGTGCACATTTTAAAATGACAGGCTAATTACTATAAGGAAAATTCAGAGCTCAAGTGGTTAATCTACCACCACAGAGTTAAGTAGAATCTTCTAAAGTGCTCTATCTACTTCTTTCTTTTCTTTTCTGCTTGCTTTGAATCTGATGTTAAGCTACTGGTGTTGAGATAAAACTTACTGTTTATGATACTATTAATTTAAAACTACCAGGAGATTGTACTTTTATTTATATAGTTCAGCCAGTTCTAGTTAAAATGTGAACATTGAAACTCATTTAAAGCTGAAGTAAAAATGGGGAAAGGAGACTTTTTAAAAATCAAACTGTCACGGAACTGGTTTACCCAAAATTTTATTTTAGCCTTCATGGGATTACCTAACAAGACAAAGTTTAGCCATGTGAACAGGTCCCAATGTTGTAAAAAATAATTTGGATTCAGGTATGATTAACAAGGTGGTGAGTTTGTCAGAGAAAAGGGAATGCTTCTACACTGTTGGTGGGAATGCAAACTAGTTCAACCTCTAAGGAAAACAGTTTGGCAATTCCTAAAAGCACTAGAAATTGACCTTCCATACGATTCACCAATCCTCCTTCTGGGAATATACCTGGAGGAACTCAAATCCCTCTCCAAAAAGGATACATGCGCACATATGTTATTGCAGTCCTATTTACAATAGCAAAAACATGGAACCAACCATGCTGCTTGTCAAAACTGGACTGGATAAAAAAGTGATGCATATACACGATGGAATATTATGCAACCAAAAAGAAGAATGACTTCGCAGAAACTTGGTTGGATTTAGAGTCTATAATACTCAGTGATTTATCACAGAAACAAAAAACTGAGTACCACATGTTCTCACTCATATGTGGACCCTGAACATTTACCACAATACTATAAAAGAAAGGGATTGTTAGTAGCTGGAAACTGCCAGGGAGTGGAGGACACATAACATTAATAAGGGTACCTGATCTCAAACCAGGTAAAGTGAGGACCAAAGGTAGGCCTAAACTTTACTTGTATGATGACCACTTGTATACCTAATACTGAATTGTCCCCCACATCTTTAAAATAAAATAATTTTTTAAAAAAACCCAAAAAACAAAGTGGTGAGTTTATATTACTATCTCATGACTTGAATTCCGAGGTAAAAACCAAAAGATCTTTGTGTGTGTATGTGTGTGTGTGTGTGTGTGTGTGTGTGTGTTTAGATGTTTGTATTTACACGTTATTTATAAAAGAAAGTAGAAAAAAACAGTAAGTGAGAGGTGACAGAAAAGTCATAAGTATAAAGATGTATTTTTGGTTTAAAAAGCTTATAAAAAAAAGAATAATTTTTTATGAGAAAGAATCTTACATAGTAAATTTTTGTCCTAAAGTAAAATGACTGGTTGTTTTAAAAAAGAGAATGTTTAGAACAAATCAAAAAACCTAAACATGTCATAGATGCATGTAAGTCATGAAAACTTTCACAAAGGAGAATTTATAGAAGAAGTTTTGTATGTGATTAAATTGTATATAATTAAAAATGAATTATTGATAATAGTCTTTCTCAGATTGGTTTCCTATGTTAAAATAAGGTTTTCTTTAAGGTATTTATTTGCTCTTATTAAAATTACAAAAGGTTTTGATTTTTAATTCTATAACCTGTTGAAAGAAAAAAATCAAGAAAGAAATCAAGAAAGAAAGAAAAGAGTAAATTAAAGAAAATTGCTCTCCCAGGCTAGGCAACATGATGTGATCTCATCTCTACAAAAAAGTTTTAAAATTAGCCAGACTTGGTGGTGGATGCCCGTATTCCCAGCTATTGGAAGAGCTGAGGCAGAAAGATTGCCTGAACCCAGGAGTCTGAAGTTGTAGTGAGCTGTGATTGTGCCACTGCACATCAACCTGAACGACTGTGACAGAGTGAGACCCCAACACACCCACAAGCGTGTGAGTGCACACACACACACATATACACCACCTTCTCAGATTCCTATCTCAAAAATTCAGCTTTTCTCGTGCCCCATTGCTTTCAGCTTTTTGTTCTCTTCGGAAGCCTTGAGATAATGATTCTCTCCTTTAATTCAGCAGCTCCTGTAACTTACTTCCTTTAGTTCTAACTGCGGTGGTGCCTAATGCAGAAATGTTTAATTTGAAAGTCTAGAAAATCAATGTTTTTCTACAGCATAACTTGATTTTGGACTTCTGGCTTTTCTTGATATATCTAAAATTTTCAATATAATCAGGAAATTTTCATGCTATTGCTAATAGTCAAGTATTCCCTGGCTTAAGGTACTAGTTTTCTTGCTTCGTGTTCATCATGACCATGAACACACTCTTTTAATGTCTGATTAATTCAAGTACCCATTTCATCAGGCTTGAATCCCATAAGGAGAAGTCATGACAATGCAGAAGGTTCTTCTTTGCCTTTTTGGCAACTGACTTAAGAAACAAAGATTTTACATTTGTTAAAATAATTCCTATGGTATATTTATGGGTTTTGATTACTTAGGAAAACTGAGATTTAAAAGGATTAAGATTGTTATACCCATGTAACTTCCTGTAGTACTTTTAAACTCTGATGATCACTCTTGGTTAAATAAATAACTATTATTCTGTTTTGATCAAAGAATGCCTTGGCAGGTTGATTACCTTGGAGGATACTACAGGTGCCACTTTGATATTTGGGGACACCATAATCTGAAAACTCACTGCTAACATGCTTCATCCTTCGGCCAGAACTCGTCTCTGTCCAGTGATTCTTCCCACAATCCCTACAATGTCCCAAACCGTTCTCTCTTCCTTACAAACAGATTGCACCCTCTACTGACTTTTCACGCATTCACCTTTATCTTATTTCTCTCTGTATAACTTTTTTCCCTCTCCCCATTGACTTTGTCTTTTAGCATTTTCCTTCTCTCTCTTTTTCTCTTGATATTATTTTTTCTACATTTTTAAAATTCTGGACCTGGTTTGATGATTGAGCTTATTTCCTTTCTTCCAGGGTGCTCGTTTCCCTGCCTCTATCTGTTTTCTCTAGATAAATTTGTCTGTAAGTTTTCAATCTAAAATTTAAATCTAAAATTTTTTTAGATTTATTATTTTTAATTAAAATTTTTCAAAAAATTTTAACTTAAAAATTATTTTTAACTGTTTCCATTTTAATGTTTAGATTTAAATTTTAGTCTTTCTTTCTATATAGTCTGTCTTGTCTTTCTCCCATATCATCAAAGGGCTCACCTTTCGCCACTGGCAAAGGAGCAGGGACCCTTTCCCCTGCCAGGTACATCTAAAAGATTTCACATGCATTTTCTATATAGCAGTGTCTTTATTATGTTTATATTCATAGCATAATCCTGGGAAAGTGAGTTGAAAATCATCTTCTCTTCCTGGTAACACATCGCAACCTAGTGATTTTGGAATTCCATGTCTATTTAAGTAAAATTAGCAATTTTACTCAAGTCTCTCTTCATTGAATGACTACAACTGTGGTCTCCATTCTCTCTCTCTTTGCGTATGTTCTATATGCAGGAAAACTCTAACCATTCTGAACTCATCTTTTATTTGCTGCTTGTGTCTCCCAAGGAAAGCAGGCAAAAGCTGGGCACAGTCTGTGTGTGTAGTTTAGAATAGATGGATAGATGAATTAGTGGATGGATGAATGGGGAAACAGGGAAGGAGATGAAAGAATAAGTGTTGACAGGAAAACAAAACCTTAATTAGATAATAAGTAATTTAAATCCTAATTACCTTCTGTATTATAAGCTAGTAATTCGGGCATTTCTTCTGATTCTTCTTCATCTATTTGTAGAGTAGATTCCCTAGACACTGAGAGAAAAAGAGAACATTACGTACAGTTGACAATGACCTGGACACCAACCTAGATGTGATCATTCTGAACTCTGATACTCAGGGTGCAAAACTGCTCCCTGAGAATAAAGTATGTTTGTACCAACTGAGCTTCACTCCAATCCTTTGAGCACCTTGGTAGGCCCCTTTCTCCTCTCTCCTGCTCTCTGTTTCTCTTTTTGTTCCTCTGACCCCACCTTCACACATTGTTGCATCTACACCATGAAGGTATGTGTGGATCTCTATGATTTGACTTACTCTCCCTTTGCTTGCCAATTGTCTTTGTGGGACCCAGGTTTACCTATTTAAAAACATGTAAAAGCCCCTACTGTTCAACATAGCGCTGGAAGTCTTAGCTAGAACAATCAGGCAAGAGAAGGAAACCAGAGGTATGAAAATAGGAAAGAGAACGCTAAGCTATCCTTGTTTGTGAATGATATGATTTTATATCTTGAAAAACCTAGGAGTCTGACAGAAGCTTACTCATACTTTACTCATAAACAACTTTGGTAAAGAGTCAGGTTATAAAGTTAACATGCAAAAGACAGACAATGAGAAAACAGATTCTGGAACACAGACAATGAAGTGTCCCCAGAATGACTGGTTACATGCAACAAACCCAGACATCAAGACATTAATGGAGAGAATTTAAAAAATTGAAGAGAGACAAGAAGAAAATAGGAAGGAGCTGTTGTCAGAAATGACAGCAGTAGAGAATACTATGATGGAAATGAACAACAGACTAATAAGCATGGAAAGCAGAATCAGCCAAGCCGAAGAAAGAATCTCAGATCTCAAAGACCAAAACACAGAACTAACCCAAACTGTCAAAAGCATAGAAAAGAAGCTCAAAAAGATAGAACAAAACCTGCAAGAGATGAATGATCACTTCAAGAGACCAAACCTAAGAATAATTGGGCTTCCTGAGGCAGAAAGAGAAACAGAAACCACGCTGGAACAAACATTTCATGAAATCATTCAAGAAAACTTCCCTCATCTCATTAAGGATGAAAAAATTCAAACACAAGAGATTCAGAGAACCCCTGCAAGACAACAAATGAGAAGACCAACTCCCAGAAACATAATAATTCGTCTAAACAAAGTAGCTATGAAAGGAAAAATCCTAAAGGCAGCAAAAGAAAAAGGCCAGACTACCTACCAGGGAAAATCAATTAGAATAGCAGCAGATTTATCCAGAGAAACCCTTCAGGCCAGAAGAGCCTGGAGCCCTATCTTCAAAGTTCTAAAAGAGAAACAATTTCAACCAAGAATAACCTACCCAGCCAAACTAAGCTTCATTAGTGAGGGAGAATTGAAATCTTTTCCAGACATCCAATCCCAAAGAACCTACGCTACCACCAGACCACCTCTACAAGAAACACTTAAGAAAGTACTGAACACAGAAGAAACAGAAAAAAGAACAACAGCATTCTTCACAAGAGTACAGGCAAAAGATTAAAAACACACATGAACCAACTCCAAAACCCAAAGAAAGACAACAAATAAACAGGATCAACTCTGTAAGAACCTCATGACAGGGATCAACTCTTGCATTTCAATTATTAGCCTAAATGTGAACGGACTAAATGCACCACTGAAAAGACATAGAATGGCAAAATGGATAAAATATCATCAGGCAACAATCTATTGCCTTCAAGAGACTCACCTCACTAGAAAGGACATCCACAGACTCAAAGTAAGAGGATGGGAAACAAACTTCCAGGCGAATGGAATACAAAAGAAAGGAGGAGTAGCCATCTTAATTTCAGACAAAATACCCTTCAAACTATTAAAAATCAAGAAAGATACAGAAGGCCACTACATAATGATAAAAGGCTCAATCCATCAACAAGAAATATCTATTCTAAATATATATGCACCCAACATAGGTGCGCCAACTTTCATAAAGCAGCTTCTTGGAAAACTAAAGAAAGATATTGGCTCTAACACTATCATAACTGGGGACTTCAATACCCCACTCACAACCCTAGACAGATCATCAGGACAAAAAATCAGCAAGGAGATCCGGAACCTCAAG